TTGGTTAGCAGTAAGTTTTATCTTTTAATTTACACCTTCTAAGCAATCTTTGTCCATTACATTGTAGGTAAGCTCTTTCCACTTACCAGGGGAATTCTCTGAGGCAGTTACTAGTCATTTGAATGGGCTTGAGCTTAGGAGAGCTAAGCCTATCATGCATACCCTGAGACAGCTGATTATTCTAGTGTTTGGCCCTGTCATGCCTATCTGGAGCCTAGAGGAGTCATGCCTATCCTGAATGCCCTGAGAAAGCTGATAGGTATCTCTATTATGTCAGGATCCTGGGGAGTCAGGTACAACATGTACAACCCGAGATTTTAGGCTGTTGGGTGGCACAGAAATGTACTTAATGAAATTAAGTGCATGCAAACAAATTCTTGAACAGCAAAAATGAATAAATCCCAGAAATGCTGTAACATACTGATCAATGCACTGTAATACCTATCTGGTAGACTCAAAGTAAGTGTAATTAGAATATTACAACGCCATAAACTACTGCAAATAGCAAGGAGAATTGACATGCTCTCCCGGGAGTTTCATTTCATTCAGTGGGATTCATTTGGAGTTCTCATGCAGCTGTTTGCACCATCAGGATTGTGCTGTGCCTATTCCATTAATAATAAAGAATTCTGTGTAACTGAAAAACGTGCACTCTTTTCCTCAAAAAACATTTGTGCAACGAAGGGTATCTTCTCACTATACTCCTAGCAGTACTTTCGAATTTTCGTAGAACAATAACTACAAGCTCGCGAGCACACGCTTAATAGTGAACAAAAACTGCGCATGCGCAAGACACGGCGCCTTTCCCATTCTAGTCTGCCACGATCCCGCCCCATCATCTGTCCCCATAGTGCGCCCCTCAGCCAATAAAACGCTCTCGCCTCCGTCTGATTGGTGAATAGGAAGCCCGTCACGAGCGCAGCTCGTCTCTTACGTCCGATTCTGTGCTACGGTAAGTTACTCCGCGCAGGCGCGTTAGGGCCTCTCCGCTCTCCGCTCCGCCCTTCGTTTTTTTTAACGGTAAACATCCTGCCGATTTTTGAACGGCTGGTTTGGGCGGCAGGAAGGGGAGTAGCCGCCATCTTGTTTGTTTGAGTGGCTTAGAGAGGGGGGTGGGGGGAGACGGAGGAAAAGGGGAGCGGCGGCCGCAGCCCGAGCGCTCACCCCCGGCCCCAGCAGCCTGCTGCCCTCGGCGGCCACGCAGGATTCGAGGTGAGGTTCGGAGCCGCTGGAGGGATGGGCGGCCTCTGGGGGAAACGGAGCGAGGCTGAAGGCGGGATCGGCCTAGGCCCGGGTCTGGGAGTCCTGCGTTGGCCGAGATCTGTGCCGCTCCGGGGTCCTGCTTCCTGGGGAAATGCTGGGTGGGGAGGAGGGTTGTTGTTAACGGCCCCTAGCCTAACGGTGGCCGCGCTTAATCGTCTCGGGCCGCCTTCAGAGGCTCGGCCATAACACGGGGAAAGCGGGGAGCGACTGCCCTCTTCCTGCCCCTAACGTGCCCTCCCTTGCCGGATGGACCTCGCTCTCCTTTTTCCTCGAAGACGGGCGCGGGGTGGTGGGGATAGAAGGTTGTTCATGTGATAGGGCCCTGGCATGCATATGTATGCAAAGAAACGCAGAACTCCTGAACAGCCAGAGAGGAATAGCGTGCTAATCAGTGTATTGTATTCCTTATCCGGAAACTCAAAAATGTGTGATTATGGTGCTACAGCAGTTTTTAAAAAGCAGTAACAGTAATCTTGTACTTTCCTGTTCATCCAAGCCGGAGAACTTTTCTGTGCTCATCCGGGAGCAAGTCTCATTTTTCTTAATGGGATTAATTTCTGAGTAGTTACCGGTAGGTTTGTAGTGTTTGGGAGGAAATCTCACTTTACAACAAACCCTTTTTTTGGGGGAGGAGACACCTTGGAATTACAACCCTGGCCTCAGTCTTCCATTGCACTTGTGTGTACTGTGTGTAAGATGCTTTGTTTAAAGAAAATAAGATTCTTAAAGGAAGTAAGCACCCAGTATATGTCGGAGCAAACCCATTTGAACAGAATGAAGGTTATTGCAGGTTATGATGATTACATTGCATTGTGTGTGTGTGTGTGTTCATAAATGTATAGAATGGTGCTGGAGAGCTTATGTTGCATAATGTTGCAAGATGGATGTGCAAGTTTTCCTCTGCCTCACCTTATTGCAAGATGATATTCCATTCGTTGTAAAATAGTTTCTCCCAGATTTTTAGCTTTGTGACATACTAAAGGCTATTTAAAATGTTTTCTACTAATGGTTAGGAATATGAAATATTAATCTCACGGTCATGTCTGATGCAAACAATGATTTTGGCAGCTGATAACTTCTACCATCAGCTGGCTTAACTTCCTGAAATGTTTGGTTTGTGTAGGAGAGATCAGCAGACAGACAAAGGTCAGGGGAGCCTAATGTATTTTCGGAGTTTTGTGGGTACAGTTGAGTCATATGCTAGGCTGAGATTTTTTTTAAATGATTGAGAGATAGTTATAGCATGTATGTTTACAGATTCTTAAAATGTGTGATTTCCTTTGACACTGTAGTGGTGCTAATGTAGTGTAGGCCTTTGAATGAGTATGGATTGTGTATGTGGCGGGAGGGGCAGGTAATGTTGAGGGTCGTTTGGAACAAACTTCTTGAATGGCAAAATTTTGGTCTTGCCCTGCATCTACTAAGTTTTGTGCTTAGGAAGTTATTGTAGGATTATTTTATTTATTTATTTATTTATTTATTTATTTATAAAATTTCTATGCCGCCCCATTCGCCAAAGCCTCGGGCGGCTCACAAAACATTAAAATATAATACATTAAAAATATAAAACGAATTACAATATAAAATAAGTCGCCCTGGTAGCTACCATTGCTCATTGCTGGAATGCAAGAGATCCTTGATCTGTTGTATGGAAGGGAGGTCCAGTGAGGTAGGCAAGTAGCAGCACCATATGGAGCAGCTTCACTAAGAAAAATCAATAAAGTCAGACATTGGACTTTTTCTTAGAAGTTACCCTTTTGTGTACATTTACAGGGAGATGGAGATGACAGTGTTTTGCATAGATTGATTTTACATAATGTGCTCTGAGTTGATACCCGGTTTGGTTTTGGACAACAACTATGAATTGTCCCCCCCACCCACCAAACCCAGGGTTTGGATAGCACACTAAAGAATCCAGGAGTTGAGTATCTCTGGGTTGTTCAGCTCAGTGTGAGCAGGTGGAATCCTGCATATCTGTTTGCCCATGAGTACCTGGGTTTTAAACAAAGCATGGGTAATTGTGATAGGTTAATCATCCCAATTTCTATAGTATTATTGTGCATTTTTTGAAAACACTAATTTGTGACAAATAAATTCATAAATAAAGAGCATGGTGCCATGAGTTGCCTTAAAAAAGGCAATTTCCAATATTCCTTTCCAATTGGAAAGGCAATTTCCAATATTTCCTAAATTTCCTAGGGCTTAATTTAGTTGCACATTTGATGAGTAAATAAACCTTTTTAAAAGCGCATTAGTTTTACAAAGTATATAGCTATTTCAAGTGTTCAGAAAGTCAGAAGTAGATGAAAATAAGTTTACAAATCCCATGAATCCCAATTCATGTGGGCAAAGGCATCGAATCTCCCCTACTATTGTCTACATTTTCATTTCTCCCACATTCTGTGGTTATAAGGGGCTCTACACTATGTGTGCATACAACTGTACACATGTAGGAATCCTAATTAGGCAGGGGTTCTTGATCAAAGACCATGCCTGCAAACCATGCTATCTTCTTCCTGTTTATTTATATGAAAAATGTTAGTTACAGCTTTTTGGAACTGCATAGTATATTCGAATTATATCTGTTTGAGATTGGATCCAATACCAGCAGAATAGAAAGTACTGTCAGAAGGGATTTGCCTCACCCTGAGGAGGACCACTGAATGGGAGTCTATTGAATGGGGGAAAGTTATTTTAAGCCAATGTAATTGAATGTTATAAAGCAGTGTGTTTTCAGAAATGGAAACCCTTTTTTGGGGGGAAAAAGTAACAAAAATGTTCAATTATAGAACATTTTATGCTGTGTCTTATTTTCTCTGTATCTTTCTCCAAATCAGTGGAAAAGAGTAGACTGATATGTAGCTCTATCTGGTGTTTTACTTTGTTAAAGTTGAAACAAAGAAATGATAGGAAGCAACTGAAAATCTTGCAGCTTATTGGGCCTAGAGAGATACCATCAGTTACTAGATAAAGTGAATTGCTGTTGGCATTGTTTTTCCAGGCTCGCAGTTAAGGACAATGGGTTGTGTCCAGATGTAGTCATACCTAGAGCAGGACCATTGAAATTAATGGAAGTTAACTCGGATATGACTAACCTCATTGCTACGTGTCTAAATTGTATATATATATAACTGAAGTTTCCAGGTGGGTTTTGTATTCAGATTGGGTCAGGGAAAATTTTTTTATAAGCATCAGCTAGCTATGATTCTTTCAGCAGAGAAGCATGTCACCTGATCTTGTAGTTCTGAAAAAGCAGAATAATCATCAGAAGCACAGAAATACCAATTCTGCTTTTATCTCTCTAATTGAGAGATTCCACACACAGCCTTCTACTGTAGTGTTTTACTATGCCCCGCAGATACGAATGAATCATATGACTCATTTCATGAGGAAACAAGCCTGATGCAGTATGGTACCTGACATTCTTGTCCATATGATTTCTCCAGGTTCCTGGTAAAGCTATGCTTCCTCCAAAGTGTGATGTATAAAAACCTTAATATGTGAATTGGACCAACGTATGTTTCTGTAGTCCAGTTCCATATATATTAAAAGTACTTGTGCTTTTTCTTACAGATTGTTCTATAGACATCTGGAACAATGTTCTATGCTCACTTTGTCCTGAGTAAGCGAGGGCCACTAGCCAAAATTTGGCTAGCGGCCCATTGGGATAAGAAGTTAACCAAAGCCCATGTGTTTGAATGCAATTTGGAAAGCAGTGTGGAAAGCATAATCTCACCCAAGGTATTATTTCACAATTATGTTTTATTGGAATACATATCTGTGTTGTAATGATATCAGAAAAATTGATATGAAAGTGGATATTGAGTTTACATGCTAATAAGCTATGTTGGGTTGGTGGTTGATTGAACAACCCATGGTATGCCTGAAGGATGATTGGCTTAGTGGGGCTTGTTATCCTTCAGTGCTTTAGCTGGTTCTGGCAGGAATACCAAGCGCCTTTGCAACAGAACCCATCTTGTCTCCTTGCTCTTCACTTTTTTGGTGCTTTGTGAGTATGCAAAAGAGTTAATATGTTCCCACTCTCACACATGTTATTTTGCGAGTGTGCAAAACTGCACTTTCGTCTCCCTTGTATCGCCAGTGGCTTAGCATATTACAACTCATAAGGAAAATTGAGACATTGAGTAGGTAACATACAAGGAAATGAGATGAGGCTGCTTGTAGGTTAATTTGTGTTCAGTTATGAAGAATAAGGTAAAGGAGAGTCTATAACCCTCTCCCTACCACCATTCACTGCTTTTGAATTATGCTCTTGGCTCGCTTCTTTCTTATAGTACCACTTCTCACACAGACCTTGGCAGCTGTGAACTAATTAGCCTAAATTGAAGGTTCAGTTTGCCCGGTTACCTTGTATGCTACCCACTCCACTTTAGTGCTGTTTTTGACAGATGAAACATACAATGAAATTGACAGGGCTACACATACTGGACAGGTAAATCTGCTCTTGCACACATGCAAAACAATGGGGAAAGGATTTAATATGCTTGTGTATTCCTGAAACCCCAAAATATTTTTACAAAGGAGGCAAACAAGTGATGGTCCTTCCACTGAAAAAACAGTCTGTCCACAGTGACTGGAATTAGGAAGTATGCTGTCTCTGCAAAGAGATACCATTCATTTATCATGACTAGTAATTATTTTGTTGAATTATATTTTAGTTTGCCCTGTAAGAGTTCTCTGGATGGATTGTATCAAGGGTGGCGGATGGATTGTATCAAGGGTGGCCAGACTTGCTAACTGGAAGAGCCATGTATGGTAAATGTCAGATATTTGAGAGCTGCAAGTAGGCCCCTGTTGGTGGCAACAGCAGGCAGCAAATGGCAAGTGGGTACCTGCGGGCAGCAAAGAGCCTCATACAGTTCAAAGAGCCTCAATTTGGCCATCTCTGAATTACATAATACAAGCAGCACACAGTAAAAGCAAACTGTACTGCTTAGAATAGAAACTGGCACAAATGTTGTATAGCTTTACATTGAAACCTAGAATATTTGTCTCTGTCTTGCTTTCCATAAAAAGCACCAATTATGCTAACAAGCTGGCATCGTGGAAAACACAACCCAGAACAGTAGAAACAAGAAGTAATCTCATACTTCTGTATTTCTGAATCTCTTCTGGGTGGTGGGTTGCAATAAAGGTTTTGTCAATCTTTCCAAAATATATACTTCCACAAAATGCTCCAAGTAGTAATAAACATTGCATAAATATTTCTGTATGCATGCTAGGCCCCCTGCTCATGCAGACAGTTCTTAGTTACATGAATTGTATCTATAGTCTGGTTGAAAGATGGGTAGAATTCATCTTTAGAGATTGCTCTACTTGTTTGCATGGAAATGTTGGTTGCCACAAGTAAGTGATTATCTATGTTTGAGTCTGTAATAATACTGATAAAAGAATTGGAGGTATAATACATAGTATCACAATCAGGTGATATTTAAAGGAGGGAAAGAGAAAGATAACATGGGTTTAGAGGTAAAATAAATGTTAGCTTTGCAAAGTACACCTCATCCTGATAAAAAATACTTCTAATTTCGCTATTTGAATATACTGTTTCTTCATCAGATACAATGGATTGTTATGTGCTAATTATAAATAATTTTTCAGGTGAAGATGGCTCTTCGAACTTCAGGGCATCTTTTACTGGGAGTTGTTAGAATCTACCACAGGAAAGCTAAATATCTCCTTGCAGACTGTAATGAGGCATTCATTAAGATCAAGATGGCTTTCCGTCCAGGTATTTGTGGAATGCTTGCACTTTGCAAAGTTTCTGCAAGTGTACAAATAGTGAATTGCAATAAAATTTGCTATTGTATTAATACATGTGTTAGTTCTACATTTTTTCTAACAGGGAGAACATTTTTTCCTTGTGCATCTGTCCACTCTCAGGATTTTTTTTTTTTCAAACTACTTTCTTGTGCTTTCATACTTGAATCTAAGGTGCATTGAATATAGTGGATATGAATGCATATGTTTTTTAACCTATAAGTCGTTTATCAACTTCCCAGTAAATTAATACTGTGCTTTAGTCAGAAATTTCCCTGAAGCAATTGTGTTACTGTTTTCACCTTATATCCTTTTTAATATACCTACGCAAATAAAGTCACTGGTAAAGGGTCTGTCGCATATTGAATCTTTTAAACAATGTTTGTGGACCCATTTAATAAACCATGAGTTTATGACGCTGCCTCATGACTAAAAAGCCTTAGTTCTGAAAAAAGAGAGTCAGTTCCTTCTGATGAAAGAATTGATAGGCTACAAAACTCATGCCACAGTAAATATGTTGGCCTCTAAGGTTTGCAACTCATTCTTTTTTTTCTCTCAAAATGATTCCCGTATGCATAACATATCTTTTTCAGGTGTAGTTGACTTGCCTGAAGAAAATAGAGAAGCTGCGTACAATGCTATCACCTTGCCTGAAGAATTTCATGATTTTGACCAGCCCTTGCCAGATTTAGAGTAAGTTGCTTTGTCTTGTGATTACCTTTTAAAATGGCTATTTTTGTTTATTAAACAAAACATAACAGTGGAAGAACAGTCCTCACGTTTGTTCGAAATCTGTAAAATATTTTAAGTGCTTGAATCCCAGAAGGTACAAAGTCAGCAAATTGCTTTGAGGGTGGCTGATTATAATTACCACATCCTGAATGCAGTCTGTGTGCTTCATTTGTGGCTGAATTTCAAAGCTGGCTATCTAGCACATAGCATCGCAAATCTTGTGCTCCATGTTAATTTCAAAATCTATCTTTGTAGCATTCAAGAAAATTTAAATCAATGCACCTAGTAAATATCTTTATAGCACAAACCTGTTCTGAGTTCTGACCTCAGAAACTTGCTGTGTGGACACAGTTGGGAATCTGAGCTTGGATTATTCCCCTCATCCCCCATAGCCAGTGCAGAATGAAGTGTTCCAGCTGCTCCAGACAAGGACTTTTGTAGGCACTGAAATGGCATGGGGAAGGAATATGTGATATGATATACTAGCAGCTTGTCAGCCTCCTACCTCCTCCTCCCAAGTGCCATCTAAGAACTTTGCTAGGCAGGAGGAGTACAGAAGCAGACTTTGCCTCTGTGCTTCTCCTGCTTTGCCTAGGATACCTGTAATCTTCTGAGTTCAGAGAACTGCTGGCGTCTCAGATTATACCCTGAGTTACTTTTTACAAGCATTTGTGGAGCTAATACAAGACTGTTCATGCACACATTCGTTTGGTAAAGTGATTTCATGTAACATAGCTGTCTTTAAAGATGGTTTTAGTTTTTCTGATTTTTTGTTCCCCTCCAAAGTGATATTGATGTGGCTCAGCAATTCAGTCTGAATCAAAGCAGAGTGGAAGAAATCACAATGCGAGAAGAAGTTGGCAACATCAGTATCCTTCAGGAAAATGATTTTGGTAAAACACAATTTTGCTACCTGTTTTACTATAATTAAATATTAGAGTTATTACATGATTCATTCACTTGTACACTGGATTTTTACATGACCAGACACTAGACAGACTTAGGTACTCCTTAAGATTACAAAACATTCAACCAGTGGTTCTCAACCCTTTTTGAAAATTTCTGAGATTCTTGGTGGAAGATTGAGCTTGTTTTGTTCTACAAATCTCACTTATCTAAATGAAATTTTGATTACTTTAGTCTGTCCTTTCTAATGTGATGAATATGGCTATTTTTGTGAGCAAAGTCGGGCAATGTTTTTCAGCTTCAGGCTTGCATCAGGTTCTGTATTTGTTCCTGTATTTAAAAATTAAGCTAACAAGTAAGTTACAGCACTGCTGTACTTTGGAAATCGTGGACAAAATTATGGAAATTTGATCATCTGTCCTGTTCAAAATGATGTTGATTTGTTATTAGAATAAAATAAACCAAGTTTTGGTGAAAAACAGATATTTACAATTGTTCAGCCATCTTTCTGTGAACCACCTGGTGGTCATGGTCTATTGACCACATTGGAGAGTTATGGTTAGTCTATGATGTCATTCTGGATTGATAGGAGTACACACTATGGACTTAGTATGTCAAGAAAAGTTTTGATAACTGCTTCAAGGTATGCAGAGGTAATATTTTAATAGTACTATCTAGTATTCTGGAAAGCTTCTTTAGAAAAACTTGCTGTTGAGACTGCTGATTATGTTTGATTTTAGAGCAGCACATCATGAGGGCTATGAATTGGAGATAAGTTTGAGGTCAAGTCTGTGAGAGATGAATGGATGCCACAGAAAAGACTGAGAGCTGCCCACATTAGTCAGATATTTGAATACATGAGAGAGAAAAAATATACAAGCTAAGACAGGCAATTGTTTAAATGTTTGAGTCCTATACAGAACAAAACTTTTTCCACTGTCCAATTTCAGTGCATATTAAGAGTATTTGTGCACATATTCAATTCACTAGTATAGTAAGTATGAAATGAGAATTGTAAAACTAATTTAGTAACTTGTAATGTATCCAGGAAATTATTGTTAGTTTGAAAGACATCCTAAATCTCATTTGTTTGCATTTATGATGAATAATTTTAACAGGTGACTTTGGAATGGATGACCGTGAAATGATGAGGGAAGATAGTGCATTTCCAGATGACATGCTGGATAGTACTAGTGCTTCCAACCTTCTGCTGGAGCCTGAGCAAAGCACCAGTCATCTTAGTGAGAAATCTAATCACTTGGAGTATGAAGATCAGTACAAGGATGACAATTTCGGAGAGGGAAATGAAGGTGGAATCCTAGGTATGATAGAAATGCATACTTTGGCCCACATAATTTAAGGCAACTGACCCTACATGTTAACAATTTCTAGAGAAGTAGTTGTGTGAGTCTGTTCTAAACCTATGTGGATGTTGCTTTTAACAAAGTAGGGTTTCTAAACCTTAGAGCATGTTGATTTCTTTGCCCACGTCCTGGGGAGCTAAGTATAGCAGAATGTTATACTGGTGTTTGAGTGAAGACATTTCTTGGGGTTGAAGAAATGCTACTGCAGAGGGCACAGCAACCACTGAGTGGGGTCATTGCATACTGTGACACCAGCAAGTAATGGAAGTGTTTTCTTGAGCAGTAGGAGTGGAGAGCAATCTTCCTGATGTATCTTTTGATTTTCTTTTTACTGTAGAAAAATATTCTGTAGAAGATTCCCCTCCCACTTTTTCCTTACACACATGACAGGGCACTTGGCTTACAATATTGAAGATGAAGGGCTCTGGATTTATATGTAGTCCCTGAATGGCTTTCCTTGCTCCATAAGTAGATATCACAGTGCCACGTTCTTCAGTCTTTCTTGCAGTGGTGACCTTGTTCATAAGTTAAAAGTGTAGATGTATTTCAAGTTCTCTGGGTGTTTGAAATTAACTTAATATTAGATGTTCTGAATAAAATATCCCTTTGGGGATAGGGAAATAACTTGGCTTCTGGGGAGGGAGGGAGAGATGGGTTAGTGAGCATGTGTACACATAGTTGCCATCATTCAGTTGAGTTGTTAGCTGAGGAGATATCTGCCAAGTTTGGATCCTGTAAACCATAAGTGGAATGTTGTTTCTGGAGTGGGGCTTCCCTGGACCTTTCTGCATGCTGTATTTCCTTGGAAAGCTGATCCTGAGGAACTGGATTTAGTGTGTGGTGGCTACATCAAGAGGGAAGGAGTTGGTTGAAGAAACACACTGCCACACAGATCAGTTGAATTGCTTCTGTTCAAGCTTGAGAAGGTCATTTTGGATTTACACAGTACTTCAGAATGGTGCTTGACATGGTTCTTCCATATTACTGTAATGATGTCCCTTGTCTCAGCTGATAATAAAATTATCACAGTTGCCTAAATCAAAAAGGTCTTCTACTAGATCATAAGAACAAGGTGTACTATTTAAGACAGGGATTTTCTGTGGTCTCCAGTGAAGCACCCTAGGTTGTAGCCTTCTGAAATGTTACTAAATTAATGGTTGGATTGTTAAGGAAAGTTTAAGCACTCAAGATGCTTTAATGTGATAAGAGCCAACAGCCCTCAGCCCTGCATGAATGATTTGTATACCACACTAGATAACTTGAAGCACATGAATTACTTGGTCTTTGAATTATGGCTTGTGAAAGCATTATGATAAAATAAGAATGTAGTATATTTCTAATACTGTAAAAGTTGGGCAGTATTACAGTTTGGTGTATGACATGTGTCTTCACTTTCAGATGACAAACTTCTCAGCAACAATGAAGGAGGCATATTTGATGACCCGCCAGCTCTTTCTGAAGGGGGAGTGATGATGCCTGAGCAACCTCCACATGATGATATGGATGATGATGATAATGTCTCAAGTGAGCATTTAATTCATTCTTAAACATAGAACAAATTATGTGAATGATGTTCCATATATAGGTAGCACCGTAGAAACATTTTGTTAAATTTGTTACAGTGTATATCTTGTGGGCAAGGCTTGTACAGTCAAGTCCTGGAGACTCAAAAAAAGTGGAATTTTGAAGCCATTCTTTCTTTTGCCTCCTCCCTTCAGTCTCAAAAACAAAATTTGCTAGTGATTGTGGCCATGCCCAGTATTTCACCAGTGGAACCAGCTCTCTTGGTCAGCTCAGTTGAGCTGACTTTGGATAACTTTGTTGGCAGTCCCTCAACCCATTGTATGGCACAATGTGAGCTGAAAAGAGGTGGGAACATGTAGGTATGTGAGAAGAAAAGCATATTCTCATTGGATATTTTAGTTCCTGGTTCCTCCTGAGAAGATATAGAGAATAGACAACCGCCCATAGACATCAGTAGAGGAACCAGACAGATGTGGCGATGATCAAGTGCAGTATGTCCACTACACCCTAAATGGAGAAGAATCCCCCAAAACAGGCACAACTAGGCTCAGTATGGTCATGAGTAAAAATGGAATGTTGACTGGGCAAAGAAGAGAATCGCAATTGAGTGGCTGGAACCCTGAACAGAAGCACTTGCTGATCACTACTTGGATGTCATACTTTAATGGTAACCAGTAATGCTCTCTTTTATTCATAGTGGGTGGACCAGATAGCCCAGATTCTGTAGATCCAGTTGAACCATTGCCAACTATGACTGATCAGACAACGCTGGTTCCAAATGAAGAAGAAGCATTTGCTTTGGAACCTATTGATATAACTGGTAAAAACAACTACCTTTGGTCCTTGGAAATGTTTCTGCTAGAAAAGTCTTTTGTTTATTGAAAGGCAAAGTAGAGAACTTATTAAACACACATTGCACTTATTAATGTTACATACTTATGATAAACCTAAGTTCTGTGTAGAATATAAATAGCTGTATCAGCACAACATTGATTTTTAAATCAAAGCTACAATCTTGTCATAGTGTACATAGCCTTCAGATAGACGATCACTTTATTCTAAGCAAATAATTCTAAATGAAGGAAAAGAAGAGTTAGATATCTTACATCGATCCCCTCTTCTGTTTTTTCCTCCAGCTGGACAATACCTGGCAGCCGTAACAGTCTGCCCTTGGGCCTAGTGGTGTATGCAAGGTCAGCCCAAACTAAGATGGTCTTCATCCAGTACTTGATTGTGGATGAGAAGGCTGACTTGGCTTGCATCACTGAGACCTGGGTGGGGAAAAGGCAGGGGTTACTCTCTCCCAGTTGGACCTACCTGGATATTTGATGCAGCACCAGCATTTCCAAAAGGGTTGGGTGGGGTGGCCGTGGTCTATAGGAATTTGATCTCCCTCTCTAGGCTTCGTGTTCACGTGTGTGCAGGTCTCAAGTGTGAGCATTCTGCTGGTATATCGCCCAACATGCTGCCCAGCAGACACCCTGCTTGAGCTGACCGAGGTGGTAGACCTGCTGTTGAGGACCCCCAGAATATTGGTTCTCAGGGACCTGAACTTCCATGCTGAGGCTGCCTTGTCCAGGGCAGATCTGGACTTCGTGGCCACCATGACAACTATGGGCTGTCTAAGCGTCATTGACCCAGTACATGTAAAAGGACATACTCTTGATTTGGTTTTCTCAACTGGACAGGAGGATGGTGATCTGGAATTGTGTGTGTGGGGTTAACAGTAACTCTCTTGTCATGGCCAAATCACTTTGTATTGAGGTTTAGACTTTCTGTTCCCTTTCCCCCTCTGCAAAGGTGGGCAACCCATTAATATGGTCATTCCCAGAGACTGATGGAATCTGATGGTTTCCAGGAGGCTCTGGAGGATTTCCCAACTGGTATGGTTGGTGCTACTGTCAAAGCCCAGGTCACTCTGGGGAATACGGAGATGACCCAGACAGTTGACACAATTGCACCCAAGTCCCTTCTACACCTGAGCAGAGCCTGGCCAGCCCCTTTGTATGCACTAGAGTTGAGGGTGATGAAGCAAGAAGAGAGATTGCTAGACCTTGGGTGGAGGAAGTATTGTTAATACTGTTTTTATTGCTGCTGCTGCTGCTATGCCATGTATCAATCTTATTATAGCTACTGTGGGTTGTTGATCTCATTGTATCGGTTTTATTGTTTAAATATTATTTTACTGATCGTTTATGTCCTAATTTATAAACCATCCATAGAGCCTATGGGCTATGGGGCAGTATAGAAGTTCAGTAAATACAATGAATAAAAGCTGTAGACAAATAGCATAACTGTTCAAACTTGGGATTATTCATTTTTAGTTCTTCTAGTTCTTTTAGTTCTTCAGACACTTCCTTGCAGAGTGTTCTCTTTGGTCCTTTTATAACTTCAAAACATGGGATGCTGGTTCACAACACTATAAACTTTGGTCCCTGTGCATTTGACTAAATGAATACAGTTGATAATACAGGCCAGTGTTTACTTGCTGGTACCTTTACTGTCTTCCTTTTCCACTGCAGCCCCCATCCCCAGGTCCTCCTGAACATTTGAGAATCCTCTGAAGCAGGTTTCAGTCAATTGTAATTTACTACAGTGCTCATTTCAATAAAACTGACCTCCCAAAAGTGAAGGGAGTCCACTAGTGGGGCATTCATAAAGCAAAAGTTTTGGAATTTGAGTCACTTAAATGTTCCAGCTACTATAAAATCTTATTCACCAAATTCTTCTTGTATACAAGCATTGTTTGGGGTTCTTTTCATTTATGTGCACCATTAATATGTTTGATGCCACCCCCACTACTAATCTTGCTTTACTGTAGTATGTATATTTCTCAAGTGGGCAGCAGACTTTTCCTTATCTGATTTTCAACTTAGAACATAGCCTCATTTCCAAGGTCAGGCATTATTCAAGGGTTTTAAAATTAACTCTTCACTTTTAGAGTCAACAAATTATCAAGAACTATAGTAACTTAATGGTACAACTTCAGAGTTTTTTACTCTTATAAACACGTGCAAAAGAATCCTAAAATAGCCAATGCTGTAATTCATTTCTAAATGTGAGTACCTTTCCCATGTCCAGCGGTTTTAACACAGCATTTCTCTCTCAACTAGTTAAGGAAACCAAAGCAAAGAGGAAGAGAAAGCTTATTGTAGACAGTGTGAAAGAACTGGACAGCAAGACCATCAGAGCCCAACTAAGTGATTACTCTGATATTGTTACTACACTGGATTTGGCACCTCCTACGAAGAAATTAATGATGTGGAAAGAGACTGGGGGTGTTGAAAAACTGTTCTCTCTTCCTGCTCAGCCTCTGTGGAATAACAGGCTTTTGAAGGTAAACTAAACTTTACAATGGGTAATTACATAAATAGAAGATACATTAAACATTGTGTAACAGCACATCATATATTGCAAATACCAAGATTGTGGTGGTAATCTCTGCCATAATTTTGGTGTGTGTGTGTCATTTATTTAAAATAATTTTATGGCATACCTTTCTGCTCTAACATTGGATCACACAAGACAACTAACAAGGTTTTTTGGAAAGCTATTTTTTAACTATGTTTTTTCTTCTTCGTCTTTTTTTACTACTTACAGCTTTTTACTCGCTGTCTTACACCTCTTGTGCCAGAAGATCTTAGAAAGAGAAGGAAAGGTGGGGAAGCTGATAATTTGGACGAGTTCCTTAAAGACTTTGAAAATCCAGAAGTGCCCAGAGAAGAACAACGCAGTGTTATTGGTTTGTGTTTTAATGAAATACATTTTGATTGGAGATGTCAAATGCTTTTTAAAAAATTAGTGATCAGAACTCTTAGTTTGTTTATATTAAATCATCTTCATTTAGAGGAATGCAATGCTGTAGTAATAAAAAGGTATGTGTTACGTATTCATAGCCTCTGTGCAGTGCCATAGATTAATTTGCAGTGCTCTTAAAGTTTAGAAAGGATGTGAACTTCTAATGATCTTCGGAGTAAAGTAGTCATTTATCAACACTTTTGTGCAATAGATGAACCTATTTTGGAAGAACCAAGTCACCTTCAGGAAGTCTCATCCATCATGGAAGGCAGCAGGACCAGCTTGGAAGAACCAGTCATGCCACCACCACCTCCTCAGACAGGTGTAAAGCGAAAGGTTGCACAAATGGAACCAGAACCTGTGCTACCTGTGAGTGAAGTAATGTTCTGCTTTAACATTAACTTGACACACAGCTTGGTCCATAATTATACAGTTGATCTTTGACTTTCATGGATTTGATCAATTGTGAGTTTGTCATCAGTAATCAAATAGGATTTTCTTAGAGTTTTGTGGCCTGCTATGGAAAATTGTTATTGGCATAGAAAGAGACGTAATGAAAGGGGAGAGAGGGGAGGGCCTTCAAAAGCATGCCTTCTTGCTCCACCCATCTGGAGAGGGAAATCCTGGCATATCTTTGGTGCAAAGAGGGAAAAATGGTGAGTGACAGAATGGAATAAATGAAGACGAGGAGCCCTGCTGTATCAGACCAAGCTCTGAGAGAGAGCAGGAGAAGCAATCCATACGCTTCAGCATGCTCTCTGAGGCTTTACGTGAAAGTAGATGCAGATTACAGCAGGACCCCGGTATCCTCTGTCTCAGTCACCACACTTTCACTTAACTGTAGTTGATCTTGGTCCAAAAGAGAAGCCATAAAGGGCTTCCTTTAAGTGAAAATTCTCTATTTAATAGGGAAAGAAAAAACTCATATGCTGAGGTTACTCAGATATATGGTAAGAAAGAATATTCTATCTGTGAACATGTGAAAAAAGAAATGTACGTGTATTGTATATAGTGTTTGCTACAATTCAGTTTCAGGCATCCACTGAGAGGCTTGGAACCTATCCCCATGGATATGGGGGTCCTGCTGTAATGGCATATTTACCCTTTTGTAAAATGTAACATTCCTTTTTCCACCCGAGACTATCATAGCTGAGGGGAGACTAGTCTCCCATTCTTTCTACAGAATGATTTCTGCTTAGATGTGTTTGTAGTAATATATTCTATTAGAATGCCAATGTATGTCAGCTTGCCTGGCAGATCAGGTATTGTAGTAACAAATCGGACTGTTTAATGGACTGTTTAGCTCAGTCTGTTATCTTTAGCAATAATTCAAACTAAATTCTTCAAAGACTTTAGATACTCAATTAGACATTGGGGAATAATGCAAGCAAAATCCTTGAACAGATTTTGACAAATGGTGGACGTATTGCTGGAATACTGTGAAATGAGTAAATCTTTACTAGGCTTTTGAAAAATGAGAGATCTTTAATTAAAATTTATCAACTCAGATGTTCATAATTGCTATTGGGTTAATTTCAGTCACTTGAACTTGAATTTCTCTGTTCTTAGTCACAACCATTACAACAGATCGAAATGCCACCTGTAGAATTGCCTCCAGAAGAGCCTCAAAATATTTGTCAGTTAATTCCGGAACTGGAGCTTTTACCCGAAAAAGAGAAGGAAAAAGAAAAGGAAAAGGAGGAAGAAGAGGAGGAAGAGGTAGGCATGGAGTTGCTTTAGAGTGATAATGTAACACATCTACTGGGGAAGTGCTTGGAATTGTTTGGGCTCCATTAATTAAATGGCTTCTAGATACTGAACGCTTCCATATATTTTCCTGACCTTCCATTCCAAAAGTACTGATGACCAACTTTGCCTTTTTTAGCATTAAGCATGCAGAAACAGCATCTTGCATAACTTTTTGCCTGGATTTAAGCTCATAGTTTCTGTGCTACTTCTGCAGATGTTTAAGGGCATGATCCTATGCAAGTTTAGGCAGAAAAAGCCTGCAATTCTCACTATGCACGCACATCTAAATGTGCACAAGATTGTACCTTAAATATCACGATTTGTGTCTGTGTTATTGCATCGTGCTTTTCTTTAGCTGTAGTTGAGTAAGTTGCAGGGTGCTGCTTCTAGTTCAGATAGCTGAATTTGAAGGCTTTGCCAACCCTTACTCTTGCTGTTTAGTCCTTCCCCCGAACTTCCCCAAATCTTTATATATTTACTTGTTTGGGGCAGTATGGAAAGGTAGGGAGTATGCCTTTGATTTGTAGTTACCAGGCCTGAAATTTTCAGTTTTCTGTCACTAAGAGAAATCTTAAAAAGAAATGAAAGCTAACAACAAGATGTATAGAGATTTTAAAGTCAAATTACTGATGCTGCAATTGCATGTGGGTATTCAAATGAAACCATAGTTGAGGTGGGCTCTTAACCCAGGAATGTGATCGGTTGTAGGAGGAAGATGGTACGGGAGGTGACCAGGATCAGGAAGAAAGGCGATGGAACAAGAGAACTCAACAGATGCTTCATGGTCTTCAGGTATGAAATTTGCTTTGGAAATGGACTTCTCAGTGTTGCTGGTCTGTAGCTACCACGTACATGAATCTTCTCTTAATTGTCACCAAACAAATAGTTTTATAGGGAATTTAGCAGGTAAAAGAGATTCCATAACCTAGTCTGAAACACAAATTCCTCAAATCGCTGGTTACTTAGAGGTCTTATTTTGCAAATTAAACTGTTTCCAGATCTAAATCTCTGAAAAACTCCCAAATAAGCAGGTGTCTTCTTGTTCATTTCCAGATATTGTTGTAGAATGGTAGTTTCTGAAGCAATGCTAGTTTGAAGTTATTTTGCATGTATGTAGGGAGGCAGCATTTTTTCATTTTAAAACAAAGACTTGCATATTTCTTACCTATTGTATATTTGGCTCTCCTCTTGGCTGCTTGTGTTTTTACTGGAACTAGTTTGAGCTTCTCTAGTAAGGGATTGAACTCTTCACTGGCCTCAGCAGGCAATCAAAACTGGTTCTTTGTGCCAGTCTTCACCTGAAGTGAAAGAGGTTTGACCATGACATTGTGCTGAGTTCTGAAGTGGCTCTGAACACATTAAAAGGCCAGCACTTACCTGTGAGCAAACTCCTACACCTTTGCCTCCAGCTTGCAAGCAGGAATTGAGTATAGTTTCAGAAAAGAGCAAAATGCCTTGCTATCACTTCCAAAACTTAACATGAGGTCAGGGTGAGCCATCCTTTCATGGACTCTGAGAATAATAGGGAATGAACTCGTTTGTGGTTGCCTCACACTAGTAAATCTTTTGCATGAGCTCAGAAGTGATGACAACTAACCATTTCTGTTTTGTTTTCTCCAGAGAGCTCTTGCTAAGACTGGAGCAGAATCCATCAGTTTGCTTGAATTGTGCAGGAATACAAACCGCAAGCAAGCAGCTGCAAAATTCTACAGTTTCTTGGTACTTAAAAAGCAGCAAGCTATAGAGCTAACACAGGAAGAACCATACAGTGACATCATTGCAACTCCCGGTCCCAGATTCCACATTATTTGAATGTTTGGCTTACTGTATAGTTAGCACCATTAGTGCTCACACATTGTTCCATGTGTAGGGCCCACGAAAGAAGTCTAGATTTTGTTGTCTGTACAGTCATTGACTTTTGTGTTTTGGAGTTTTCTATTACATTTTACCACTTTTGAATTTCTAGTATCTCTTTGGCACTGGGTGACTTGAGTTCCAGTTGCAGAGATGACAGAAAGTGACTCAAGACCTTTATAAAGAGTGTTTTTTAAAAAACAATTCAGAACAGAGGTGTGCAATATTGTTGCATGTAACTATGACTAATACATTGTTTCACAGTTATCTGCTTAGTAAACTAGAATACTATTTAACTAACTCCAGAAGACCCAAAATGGCCAACCTATTGACTGGGTTCAGAACATAACACACTCGTAGGTTGAATGTGTGTTTCTGCTGAACCATGGGTTGTTGAAATTTGGGTTGTTGTGTTGTCTGTACGCAGGCATGTTTACAAACCATGGCTGATTACTACATACAGCCTATGAAGAAAACCCATGGTTGGTTTGTTACATGTGAGTTCTTCATGATTAGCAACATGGTTTGTTGGCACAGCTAGGCATGCACCATGTTAACACCTGTTCCAGCAACAACCCATAGTTCAAACTACAACCAACATTCAACCTACACTCAACCCTTGATTTTAGATGTTTATGTTTCTGAACCCTGCCATGGTCTCAGTACAGCTTTTGCCAAACATGTCTAAAATGTTCTCTCTGTCCCTCATGGTAGTGAATCCTTCCTGCCCTGAACTTCTGGCAGTGCTCATATTCCTGCTTCTGATGGTGCTCTTGGAGCTGCCAGTATGAATGTTAGTGCCTGGCAAGAGTCCCTGCTGTGCCATGGTATCCCCATAATTGGGCTTAAGTAGCTCACAGCTCTGGGACTTAGGTGTTTTTTGGAAAATAATATTTTTAATCAAAGCTTATTTAAATGAAAGAGACAAATTCTGGTGTTGATATTACATTCCTTCTCAAGGTGGTCCACTTCTGATAATGGGTAGTTGAGAGAACAGCTTAGTTCTGCTCTTATGTATCAACAAGAACTAAGCCTTTTCCCCTCCCGCTTTGAATCTAAGCCCCTTGAGTATTTACATTTTTAAGGCTTCATAGAAAAACCATTCTTCTAGATTACAGGCAATTTGGCTTAGGTAAGCTGGTAGCTGGGTGGTTCTCAGAGTGCAAGCAATTTATATTTGTTGGCGAATCAGTGCAGGACACCACTGGCCCTGAAAGGACAGCAGGCTACAGATGTATATTTTAGAGGCCGATAAATATGCAGTTATTGAACATAATCTTGTTGTGTAATAAGTGTTAATAGACAGCTTTCGTAACAGTGTATTTTCCAATAAAGCACACTCACGGGTCACTGCATAACTTTGCAAATGACCTTAAATTTGGCTTATGTTTTCCTAAATAAAGGTTTTATTAGGATCAGCCCATACCAGATATCATGTGAACATTTGTTGATGGATATGTCAACATTTCCTAAGATGAAATTGCTAAAGATTCTGATTTTAAACGTTGGCACTTTTGTGAAATGATTCTCTTCTGGGATTGAAATTTCAGTGCATACCCAAATGTAAAATTATGTGAATGTTTTAAAATTTGCAACATGTTTTAATAATCCTTGAGAAAGTTAATTGTATAAAATAGTTACTGCAGCTTTATTTTTGACATGACGTGCCTGTACAACCATGATTTTCCCCTTTGTACAAAAAGACATTGTAGATAACTTGAATGTTTAATTGTAGAGAAGATCGTTAGTTTATTGTTATAGTTTGTTAGTTTGTTTTTGTTGCCTTTCAAGGTTAATGTTCTTAAATAGTTGCTGTTATGTATAACTTTTCTAATAAAAGTTGTGTTATAAGCTATTACTTACTGATGCTATAACCTTATCTCCTTTGTATGTGTTCTATGTGGCTTTATTATGAGAAAAAGCATTTCTTCAATAACTACCACAATGGGATTTGTGCTTAATATCCAATTACTCAATCCTTTCCATTTGGTACCTTTCCTTTATCAGACCACTTTCAACATGGTAATTTTAAAGCAGGAGTCTATCAACATGACACAAAGGGTGGAGGAGAAGAAAGTATTTATTTAGAATATTTCTGGACTGCTTCTGCTTCAGTGCTTGAAGTAATATATACACCAAAATAATGAAAGTTGAACAATAGAGATGCCCCATAAGGAAGCATTACTACTAAAACTGGAGCAGCATTAACTTAGAGCCTACCTTCTCTTTAAAGGTAGAAATTATCATGTGAAGACATCATGTGGAACTTGTAACAATCTGCAATCTAGATTGCTGACAGAGAAAGGAAGTGTTTTAACCTGATCAGGTTGGTTGCCTTGATCCACAGCTTTTCCAGTTTGTATGGAAACATTTAAGAGTCTTAAAAAGATTCCATCATAATAAAGTAACCTTGGATACCAACTGCTTCAAGCTGAGATTTTAACAGCAGTTGAAGCACTATATTCAAGTTATCTTGCTAGTTAAAATAGTGGCTAAAAACAGAAGTGGTCTGATGAATTAGACCAACAACTTCAATTTCATTCAAAACTTCAATTTTGCTTCCACAAAAAGATCTGGCTTGATTTGTTCTAGGAATCACTTGTCAGTCACTTGTAAGACTAGCACATTAAAAAACCAAATAACCCTAAGGTGCATACCCTTACTATGCTTTCTAAGTTTCAGGCACCTTGGTTTCCCAGTTTGGAAGCTGTGATACAGATGGAGATGCATAAATTAGTGAACTGAAGCATGGTGGCAACTGCAAATCTGTCATGTTCAGTTTACAGCTGAACAATTCCTGGGGAGCCTGAGAGATGCTCTAAAAATCTGAACACATGAACATGGTATCTTTTAAAGGGCTTATCAAGAATGACATTTAAAATGGCTGGGATGGCATAAATCATATGAACAAGGGCATGGGCCTCATCAAATAGATACTGACTGGGTTTGAACATGCACGGGCAGTTAATAAGCCATGGTAGTTTATTACTTTTCAAGCACCTGCTTTCCCAGATCATCCCCTCCCTCCACCCAGCAGGTGGACCTAGTGAGGGTAGGTGGATATGGTGGTTAGCAAATCATCCAGAACCCGTGCTTTATTGTAGCACTGATTTATTAACCATCTTCCTGTCATCCAAATGTGTCATTATACTGGTTTTGTTTTTGGCTCTGGTGGAACATCTTGTTAGCATTTGCAGTCCTTGAGTTTGTTTTAAGTACATGCAATTAATGTATTTTTCTGTTGCTGCTGTGCAAAACCCAAAATAAAAATCCCTCAACCACACCATTAAATGGGAAAAAAGGAACAACTTAAGCATTACAATTTTTAAATAAATTGTAGCATTAATTATCTATCTTCAATAGACACCCCAGAGCACCCTGGATTTAGCCATTTGTATATCACACCAAAATGCACCCATTTAATGAAAGTTTCATTGTATTATTTTGCAAGCGGCCACAAATGCATGTAATTGGTATGTAATGTCCTCCTTACACTCCTGCCAAAAGTGGAGTTACTTCACATGTAGACTGTTTAGTTAAGTCTGACAAGTATAAATTGTTGAAAAACATTAAATTCTAAATGAAAAAAATACAGGGAACAGATATTTCAAAAGTAATTTCCTGCTCCCTAAAAGACAGCAGCTAGGTTTTCAATATCATCTGTTGTGATTTCCTTTGAACAAGGCAGGAAAGCACACATTCTGATGCATCCAAACTGATGTTTTAATTTTAGACCAGTTTTGGCCTGTACCAAGACTGCACCCTGAGATATTTTTAATACCAGGGCACAGTTTTCTGATAAATGATGTTAAAGGTATATGGTTCTCCATTTGTGTAAATTCCAAATGAATCCCCTTTTCATATGGCCATACCTGCATGTCAAATGCTGCTCAGGGGTGCAGAACTTCTTAGCCTGAGGACCAAATTCCAGTGGTGGCTTGGGCAAAATAGGCAAGCCAAAAATGCAAAAAAAAAAAAAAAAAAAAAAAACCTTTAAAAATTTACTGCCAGTGACCTTGTTTGCACTCATGCTTGCTCCAGGGTGCCTGCACATGATGGCCAAACACAGTGCAATTAAGCCACCCTGAGAATCCAGGCCATCCTGTTGGGTTGCTCAGGGTAGCTTCTTTCCAGGGTGGCATATTAAGATGTCCAAAACTGTGAGAGTGGCTTGTGCATGAAGAGATGCAAAAAGGTGCAGAGCCTCCTAGTAAAAGTTGCAAGAACCCAAATGCTCAACTGGCCCTATCCCCTTGGGAGTCAAGTGAGGAAAGTGCCTGAATGTGATTAACTCCCCTCTGGATAAACCAGTTCAGGACCAGGAGAGAGTTAAGTTTCCAGTGCTTCCTGTTTTCATGCTGAAATCTCTCCCCATCCAAGCAGGAGGGTTAAAAACATCTAATTTCCCTCTATTTTTACCAGTCCCTGCTGGGTTGTGGAGGGGGATTGGGACAAGAAAACAGGAGAGGCGAAGCTTAAATCCCTCCCTCCTGGTCCAGGTTGGGGCATGTGCACTTGCTATGTTGATAGCATAACTCTGCTAGGAAGAGAACTGCAAGGAGCAGCTAAGGAAACCTTTTTCCTCAAGTGCTAATGACAATATAACCTTGTGTTTGCGTCATCCTAAAAGATCAGGAGAACACCCTATTTCCACTCAACAGATACGGCAAGTGCTTATCAGCACAGGAGCTTCGTAAGACTTGAAAAGGTGGGAGGGTCTCCAAACTGCAGAGGAGTGATGGAGTTGTGCTGTAAAGGCCCTGGGACACATGCTGGGAGTGGGTAGCGGGACGGGAGGGGAAACAAGCCATGGCAAGCTGGCAAATGCATGATCATCCGTCAGCAGCAGCATGGCTTAGCAAGCACTTAACTATCTCAGCATGGTGCACGTTCAGCATGGCTTGTCATGACATGTGACCCAGGGTTTTAAAAATAGGGAAAAGCTGTACAAGCGCTGGAGAAGCAGCATGGCCCTCTGGGGATTCCTCCGTGTCCGGATTTGGCTCCTGAAGCTGATGCTTTGCACCCATTGCATCAGCTTTGCATCGCAATGCGAGAAATGATTTCTTGTATTTCCATGGCCTTTAGTCTCACTGTTTACCATGTACCTTTATGCCAGCGGAAGATAGTAGACTACGAAGGTACCACAAGACTTTCAAAAAGGTTGTGGGGTGCTTTCCCCATTACTGGATGAGAGCTACTTGTTCAGCTATCCCATTTTAAAAAGATGGCACATTCTTTTCCATTCTGCGCAAGCTACAAATACAACCCAGCACTTTGTCATAGCTGCTATACTAGCAGCTATAGGGTATGAATTTCAGACTTTCTCTCTGGGCTGGCGCATGTGGCAAACCTTAGTGTCTGTTGTAAATGCAATAGTAAAGCTATTGCTAGAGTACTACTTCTGGTCACTGTACTTCTGTTTAGTAGCTTATGAAGTAAAGCCTAGCAGGCAGAAGAAAATGGGGGAGAAAACCTATGAAAAATGCCCATTCCTTGTTCCTTCTTTGTTAGGAGGAGGGAGAAGAGTTTTCTAAATGTATTGCAGCAGCTGCAATGTATTAATGTGATAACAATGGCTGGTTGAAACAACACTATTCCAGGATGGGGTAAGAGGCATTCTTCTCCACCCTCATGGGTCAGTACAAATGATCAAGGAAGACACATGCAAACGTACTGGAGTACCAACTTTTGTTGGCTGGGAATCCTAGAAATGAGTTTGAACCTTGTTTTCTCCAGTTTTCTAGTTGCCCACTCAAGGAGGCCATTGGCAGCGATCCAGTTGGAGCTGAACTGCTGCTGGAGACACAATCCAGATGGGAGCGTTCTTACAAGCTGTACTTTTGGCTGAAAGGCATGGCATATTGATCTGACTGCTGGATTTAAATATATACAGACCAGCTGTACTTGCTATTCTAAGTGCTGTCTTGAACAAACTGATGCAATGGAGAGGATGGTGTTTCCTGTGCGGTTTAGGAGATGGACGATTTTGCGACAACAATTTCAGTAATCTGGAGTTTGGGGAACATTCAAAATAAAACCCTGCATATTGTGCTCCCCGTTTTTCTTTACATAAGCTCTCCTAGCTGATTACTGTGCACAGAAACCTGTGCAGTGTCCTTTCTCTGTGGCTTCACTGCACATAACAACTGTACTATTTCATCAGGGTGAGAAACCAATCAAAACAGTGCAAATATTACACAGTTTCATTATGCTTGTCCAGATTATACAATTCCATCAAGTTGGGCAGGAAAGGCAATGGGGGTTTGATAGAGGAGTGACATTCCATAGTTCTCTCTTATTCACAAAAGATGTAAAGTTTAGAGCCAAGCTAAGTTCTTTCGAAATACATAGGGAGGTATAGGTTTCAAAGATGATGGGCTGTGAGCCAACAACTGATGCATATACATGCTGCCATCCTAATTCTAATATGGGTTTTATTTTATCTCGTTACTCAAGACATATTTGATACAATCTACAGACAAGTGTAAGTGGCCAAGTTAGAAAAATAAGATGCACAATTAAGCTTGCATTGGCAGGAGTGGTACTCTTCCTTCATATGGAATGTTGTCTGCATACATACGAACCAAGCAGAGGGATGGTTGGGGATGAGAAACTAACATCAGAGAACATTTCCGCCTGCCTCATCCTTCTGATCACTCTTGCAGGGTTTCTTTTGTTGCTATACTGCACTTTATATACCGTACTATTTAGAAGTTGTTGATTTTTTTGTTTTATTGGCTATTGTTTGTATTAATATTTCTATTATGTAGTAATCTGCCAAAATTAGGACCATTTAACATTGTTTCTATTGTATTGTTGAATATTGAAATATTTGTTTGATATTTCCTATCATGAACAGTTCATGAAAAGCAGTAAATAGCATTTGCTGTTATTTATTATTTGATTTCTATCCTGCTCCATAACCAAAATGGCTCTTTTTCTTTATGTTTTGAGTTGCTTTGGGCACAAACTTGTGGGAAAGCAGTATATAAATAAATGAGAGGCACCTGAATGGACTCTAAGATCAGCCTTACATGCCCTGCTCACAGGCCCAGTCTCAAGATCTACATGACTGGTGAGCACCTTCAGGGTCTTCTCAATTTCTGGAACTACTTCAGAAGGGAGATAGATAATCCTCCCAGTTACTAACTTTTAAGCAGGCCTTAAAAGCTTGGGTGTATCTGCTTTTAAGTGTTGAACTGGGTTTTCTGTTGTTTCAGACTGATGCTTTTAATACTGTAAGGATAAAATCATATCAGGATGCCCATAGGCCACCAAAGTCAGAGGTTTACTGGCATCCGATGCAAATCTGGAAGAGTGGCAGAAGCAACTGTAGCTTCTTCTTCCAGTCTGCATTTTTTCTTGATGAGCTTTTCTGTCTGTCCAGCAGGACCATCTTTGAAGTGAAAGGAAGCAAGTAAGCTGGAACAGTTTTACAGCCATCCCCTTTCCATATCCTTTAACCTGTCAGAGAGAGATTTAAGGGCTGGAGTTTCAGAGCCCCAATCCTAATGCCAGACTAGTCTCTCTGACCTTGGAGATAGGAATTTCAACTACTGAAAGTTTCTCAAGCCATGTCTAGGAACCATAGGAACAGTCCCTAACAGTTTTTATATATTCATATTTAAACACAATCTCAAATTTTGTTTGCAAGGCAAGTTGGGAGAGCTTTTCTCTGAAGGGCCAGCTTTTATGATTCTAGTGAGATATTAACAATTGTTTCAACTGAGAAGTATTTACTGATTCTTAATTAACTTGCTTATGATATGAAAAGACAGGATGCAAAAACCATAATAAAATGTGGTAATTAACTCCAAACCTGAATAATAAATGTGATCATTAACTCCAAACCAAGACCCAAAGCAAACTTAAATTAGAAACGACTTTTATAACAAGGGAATTCTTGTAACAAGTTATTCTGTAATTGGGATAAGTTTTGTGTAATGTATTATTTCTATTAGTAACAGGGAAATCTTGCTTTGGACATAATTCTACGCCCTCCCATCTTCATCAGGGAGTCCATAGGGTTCTTCCAAGTCCTACCTCCAGGATAATGTGACCTTGAGGCTGAGACTCTGAAACCCAAGCCTCTGCCCCACCTCCCTTGCAGCTGATGTGCAAAAAACTGCTGTGTAAGAGAAGAGTGTGCTGTGGGGCAAGGCAGATAAGATGCTGGGGCTGAGGACTTGCTCCGATTCCTTCTGGAATCCCAAGTTTGGAGGCATATGTGCATCAAGGGCAGGGATGTTAGAACTGTGCCCTTACTTTCTTTCCCTGCCTAGATTTCCCTAGAAATTGTTCTCGTCTTGCTCCAAACCCATTTAAAAATTGTGGAATTCTTCAACCAATGTCATACTTCATGTATGTGTGGCACAATCACATAACCATACACTCATTTTTTCTCAGGTGCATATTTGCTGCATGACTTGAATTCCACTGAGAATCAGCTCCATCTCTTTTCAGTAGGTGATTTTGTAGACCAGAATGTAAAGATGCATTAAAATCTCTAGTTATTCAGTGGCTGACAACTCTTTGCATCCTCTAGGACCTAGCAAAATCAGAATTATTAACCCTGTATACATTTTACTCTACATAACGATTCTTGCATAATTGGTTTTCTTAGCCATGGGAAATGCAGAGAGCCTTGTGTCTGTGTGACAGGGTGGGGAGAGAGCACATGTGTATGCAGACAGGTGGGGAATACAGAGTGTTCCATATTTAAACTAAAACAGACTGAAATTTTATGCCTACTTACCTGGGTTTAAGTCTATTGTAACTGAATGGTAGCAAAAATATACAGGATTGCACTACAAACTGGTAACATGGAGGAGGATGTCTAGCTTTATTTAGCGATCAGGACACTGGGCTTCCAGTCTCTCTCTCTCCTCCACCGAACTCCAACATTACAACCCTATTTGTCTTTTCAGCCTTCTGAAGTAATTAATACCATGGAAAATGTTCTGAGTGTAGAGAACCCATTTATCACTTTTGTTCATTCGCTGAAAGAACAAAATTACATGTACAGAACTTTCAAAAGACTATCATTCTGGCACTAGGAACTGACATCCAGCATTACAAATTGCCCTTCAGGGAAGTGATTAGTTCTCAGAAGACTGGAAACTGACTAAATCTGAGTCAGATAGTAGGGACTGATAAAGAAGTCCATTTCTTGTAATTAAACAAACTGGATATGGAACAGGAATACAATACTTTGAAGTTACAATTGAAAATACATTACAACTTAATCTTCAGTGCACGAATAACCTTATTGCCCCATATAATTAGAGCATGATTCTTTAAGTAAATCCTGTTGATTTAGAAAGAGAAATGAGAGCCAAGTATGTGTTTCTCTCCCATTAAAATAACAGGATCTGAAAGGGCCATGAACACAATAAAAGAGCACTTCTCCATATCTAGAAACTAGTTTTCTACTAGATGGTGTATGAATTTATCAGTAACCACAGCCAGCTTCCAAGGATCCAGGCTTAAGGAGAGCCAAGATGTAGGAGGGGAGAGCTCTTTCACAGAAGAAATACAGATTTGACCTGTGGTTTTTACCCCTTTTGGTTCCTCTACCAAGATGTACCTGCATATTAATTTTTCAACACTAAATACAAATCTTTAGTTGCTTTTAAGTGTCATGTGCCTCCTGGGATAATACTTCTGATGATGCTTAAGATACATTTTTTATTTCATTTTGGAAAGATTGTAAAATTGCATCAGGAAAACTTTGCTCTTTTTCAAATAATGGTGTGTATGTATGTGTATAAATATAGAAATAAAACTAGATTTAAAAAAACAAAACCAAAATTTATTCACTGTAAACATTGTCTTCACCCAAAGTTCAGAGAAAAATTCTGGCCACTAACTTTTCCTGGACAGTTTTAGGCTTCTACATTTTGGGGCCCAGAATACACAGACCCAGCTGCAGCTTCAGATTTCCTTTTGCTGTGCTTCCTATTCCGTTTTTTCTGAGATGCCGAAGGCTGTGAGCCCTCTTCACTTTTTTTCTTCTTCTTCTTCAGGCAACTGAGGGGGTTTGGGCCAGCAGCTCTTTTTCGCTTTCTTTTTTTGGGGTCAGAAGTCTTGACTAGCCCCTGCTGCTCCTTGAGAAGTGCAATGCTTTGCTTCTGATGCTCTGGAATAAGCTTATTTGTTTGCATTGTATGAACTGAGGCTAAGGATTTTGCAGAAGGTTTGTCTAGAACCATAGTGTTCTGTATTATGAACAGAAGAGGAACCCCGGCCCTTTTCTTTATTTTTGCTGTCAGATCTTGGTCCTATAAAATATGTAAAGAAACAGAAGACAGAGCAACATAGTTAAGATAATCCAGGTTCTATACCCATGCTTCACAAATGAAGGCAGTCTTATAAACCAAGCAGATAACTCACTGAGGAAAACAAACATTCTAAGCATCTTCCCTGAATTGCTTCTTTACTAAAGTTTTTGCTGAACATGCTTAAAGATGTAGTAGCAAACTAGTTCAATGGCTCACAGAAGAGGGTGGTATAAACTCAGCTAGCAGGAATACATTCTGCTCCTCCAGGGGTTCCTGCAATGTGCGGTCATTTTTTTCTGCTCCCTGCTTGCCTTAATAATGGGCATTTTGCTAGAGCAGATCAACTAGTTCTCTGAATTCCACAGTTCTTGTACATTTATCATTTTGAAACCTAATTTAGGGTACTGTCTAGTTGACTAAGTTATAAGTCAGGAAATTTCTTGCTTTAACTCTCACCTGTAGTATGAGGTCCCCATCAACAATCTGGGAAGAAAATTGTCATTCTTAATTTGAAATAATTATTAGTCACATATTATATGTTAAATTCTTTACGAACTCAAGCATTTTTGTTTTGCACATTTTAATCATTATACTAGAGCAAGATGAAGTGATAAAACAGCTCAAGATTACAATTTGTTTTGTGTATAACCTGCCTTTTCAAGCCTTCAAGGGGCTTGTGTTTTCAGCTACATTCCAGCTCCTTAGCTGCAATGAGAGAATGCTCCACTGAGTTCAGTGGGGTTTATTTCTAAGCAGACTTATGTAAGACTGCATAGAAATAACACAGATGCCTTTCAACTATCAGCCAGAACCAAATCTATATATCATGCAGACAAACCCCCAAGCTCTTCATTCCTCTTTGGGAAATAAAGCTTAGCCATAATACATTTGTGACTCTAATCTTATGTTGAGGAATCTTGTTGCAAGAGGAATTAAATCCTGAATGCTTTTACATTCAGCAAGACAAGTCACTGAAATCTTCTTGTACTCAGCAAAGTTTACTTCTAAGTAAGTCCATTTTGAAAGCCTGTTTCACTTAGCTGCGCATTAAGTACTGTCTGGGCTGTGTAAGGCCAGTCCAAATCTGCATAAACTAAAGTTTTTCTGGAGCAGCTCCAACAAGGAAAGCTGAACTTAATCAAAACTCACTATAAAATGGCCAGATTTTCAGTCACAGCAAAGGAAATTTTGTGTTTTATTCAGGCAAACTTGGGAAAGAATGTTACCTGTGTAGCAATGAAATAATGGTGTGGATTTCCATCTTCAACCATAGACAAAAGGCAGAGTGAGCCACTCACTGGATTTTTGAAGTGAGAACAATGGCGAACCTGACATCTCTGGGCAATTAGTTTTGCACCATACAACTCCTTTCCCAAGGATTCTAGTTCTTTCAGGATACAGCTAAAGGAAAATGAGGTAAGAATGATAATCACAAAGTTTCTTATTTAAACACCATACTATTTTAAATTTTGAAACCAAGGCCAACTAAGTTCCAATTAAATACAGGATTTGGGAGGTCCGGTACTAATGACTTTACTTGGGAATAAGCGACTCTAAGCTGTGTGGGATTCTTTCCCATTCTTCCTGACTCCTGGCAGGATTGAAGGAAAGTGCAGTTGGAAGGCTGTCCTATAACCAGTGCTTTTTTTTGTAAAAAAAAAAAAAAAAAAAGGTGCCAGAACTCACGTTGCTGCCGGCAGTAAGCACTCAGCGCGCGACAACACACACCAATCCCAAGCCGAGCAGCATCCCAAGCCGGGCGGCGCAGACACAAAAGCAGCCTGCAGGCACTATGTTAATGATGTTTGCTGCTGACCTGCTACGCTGACAAGCAATTCAAAATCACTTCGTAAAATCCATTGGAAAAAAAAGGTGCCAGAACGCCGTTCCGGTGCGTTCTATGACAAAAAAAGCCCTGCCTATAACCTTAATGATTATACTGTACTGGCTCTTACATATGCAGCTTTTGAGGTATACAGATGAGGATCACCTTGGAATGCCCTCCAACAGCACTGTATTCTCCACCACAACCACAGGACCATGTGTGTGCTGTAATTTTATTCATAATTAGTGATATTTAAGGAATTTGCATAATGCCGTAATTCGCATAATGAAAAGTGAAATATAAACAATCGGAATAAATGTAATGGTCATTTTGGAGAGCTTTCATCGATATGGTCACCATAACTCAAAAATGACTCAAAGCACATAATGGGCATATTAGAAAGCTATGGGGATGATCCTGCCCTCAAAGCAGGAGAGAAGGTTGGGATCTCATTAATTTGACACATGACAGCAGGAAAGTTTTGCATGGGGAAAAACACTGGAAAGTTTTCCACCCCATACATAGAAACATGCCTTCCTGTTTTCAAAAATGGGGAAGCCACAAACAACTAAGTACAAACAACAGCATCAGTATGCACATTTATTGTGCACATACATGTAATATTTTATTTGTTTCAATGTTATACTGCCCAATAACCTGATCTATAAGGGACTGCAGGTGGCACAGTGGTTTAAACTGCTGTGCTGCTGGGCTGGTAGATCAAAAGGTCGCCGGTTCGAATCTGCACAACAAGGTGAGTTTCCGTTGCTCCGTCCCAGCTCCTGCCAGCCTTGCAGTTCGAAAGCATGCAAATGCAAGTAGATAAAAAGGTACCACTTCAGTGGGCAGGTAACAGCGTTCCGTGCACTTTGGTGTTTAGTCATGCCAGCCACATGACCAGGGAGACTGTCTGTGGACAAACGCTGGCTCCCTCGGCTAGGAAACGGAGATGAGCACCGCCCCCTAGAGTCAGGCATGACTGAACGTCAAGGGGAAACCTTTACCTTTATACTTCATTAAACCCTGGGGTTTCCTGCTAATATTGCCCCCTTGTGTGTGGATGATGCTAAACAATGACTTGAACACAAGTTTGTTTGGTACCACTATTTATTTATTATTTATTTAAAGCTCTTGTATGCCATCCTAAGGGGACTGCAGGTGGCACAGTGGTTTAAACCGCTGTGCTGCTGGACTGGTAGATCGAAAGGTCACCAGTTCGAATCTGCACAACAAGGTGAGTTTCCGTTGCTCCGTCCCAGCACCTGCCAACCTTGGAGCTTGAAAGCATGCAAATGCAAGTAGATAAAAAGGTATCACTTCGGTGGGCAGGTAACACCATGCACCTCGGTGTTTAGTCATGCCGGCCACATGAGCACGGAGACTGTCTGCAGACAAACGCTGGCTCCCTCGGCTAGGAAACAGAGATGAGCACCGTCCCCTAGAGTCAGGCATGACTGGACTTAATGTCAAGGGGAAACCTTTACCTTTACCCTGATCTATACATAAACACAGTTTGCATGTTAGATGGCTGAGGCAGAAAAGGTCATAGGAGCAGTAGCTATTTCTTAAGGAAGCTCAAGGCTGTGCTAACGCTCCCATTTTATTGTGGCAACAACCCTGTGAGGGAGGGCTAGGCTGAGAGAGACACCGCACAGGTGAGCCTCCCTGACCCCGATCCAACACTTCTAACCTTGAGGTAGGCAACTCCACGCCTCAGACTTTGTTACTACAGTTCCCATCAACCCCAGCCGCAGGCAAGCATCCCGAAAGCGCAAGATGCAGGGCTTCGCCTGCCCCGCCGTGTTAGCGGCGCGGCAGCTTCCTCGCCCCGCCCCTCCGCCGAGCTTTCCCCCAATCAAAACCCACGCCCTCCGCCGCCCGCGAGCGTGTCACGTGCCACCGCGCTCACCGCGTCGTGCAGAGCTGCGTGGCCCCCGCCAGGTATCCCGGCAACTGTTCGCGGATCTGGATCTTGTTGCGCAGCGCGGCCTGGCAGAATGTGCCGTCCAACAGCACCTGGAAGGGCTCCCGGAAGCCGAAGTTGTACTTGTAGAAGCCCATGTTCTTCTTGGCGTGCTTCTGCCGAGTGATCTTCATGGCGGAGGCGCAAGAAGAACCAGAGAGATGGGGAGGAAGCTCCTTGCAAAACTTCCTCCTTTGCCGGAAGCGTAAGCACTACACCGGAAGCAGGAACGATGCGCGCACGCGCAGTGAAGCTGCCTGTAACGTGCTTCGGGGAGCCTTTAAGGAGTGCTTCGCGGTTACCTAATAAAGCGTTTTCGGATGGTCATGTCTTCAAAGCAGGATTATTTGCCTAGATGCTCTATAATAACAAGCGTGAATAACAAGCAATACATACAGTATGATTCAATGGATGCCGGTCCCTATGTCAACGAGGCTTCTGATCCATCGCAGCTTTTCTTTTTGAACTTTATGGGAATATCCATGGCGCGCCATTGGGATGAACCTATTTTGGAGATGCAGTCCATCCCCATGAATCGTTTCTATAAAGCTGAAGGGAAAAGCTGTAATGGATGAGGAGTCTCATTGAAATAAATGTCACCATCTTCCTCTGATGCTATCCTCGCAGAATATTACAGGGGTAGCAGCACGGGCTCCAACCCGATGCAGCTGTCTCGCTTATACAGAACTGCGTGGGTATCAGTAATAGTCCGTGTGAATATTGGTATCAAGTCGGAATCGCTAAAATCACAACAAACACACCGTTTATATGCGATAATGTTGAATCCTGACATTGCCCGTATGTGCCCCTTGACGCTGCTGCATCACATTTATTCGGCGGTCTGACTGCCCCCGTCCGGTATGATGGGCTTCACTCTAATAGTTGCCATGAAGGCAAGAATATCTGAGAGGCGAGGGACCAGTATTACCACACATGCGCTCAAGAGTCACGTTTTTCGTTAACTTCCGCGCTATCTCCCGGCCCAATTGCGCCGGCGCGCTTCTCAATCTTATCCTTCCCTCCTCTTGAAATCCTCTTAGCGCCCACCTAGAGGAACTTTCTTTCCGGAACCGCATTTTTCAACACGGCAGCATCCGTTTCTATCCGGACGGCTTTTGTGGAAGGACGTGCTTCCGCCTCCTTCCTTTCCCGGCCCTTGCGTGCCCTCTCCTTTTCTAGCATGGCGTCGCGCAAGGAAGCGGCCGGTGGCGGCAGTTCTTCCGTGGCTGGCAGCAAAGGCAAGGCCAAGTCGGGCCCGGGGGATTCCGCGGTGAAGCAAGTGCAGATCGACGGGCTGGTGAGCTTAAGCCGGGGCGGGTAATCGGGAAAGGCTGGGAAAGGGTTCGTGTGGGAGGCCGGCCGGCCGGCTTCCGCAGGTCCTCCTTCAGTAGGTGCGGAGGAAGCAGCTCCCTTGCCCTCTTTCCACGTGCGCGCGGTGTAGTGGCTAAGAGCCTGGGACTGGGACTCAGAGGATCTGGGTTCTAGTCCCTGCTCAGCCATGGAGCCAACTGGGTGACTTTGGGCCAGTCACAGACTCTCAGCCCAACCTACCTCACAGGGTTGTTGTTGTGGGGATAAGATGGAGGAGGAGATGTCAGCTGCCTTGAGCCCTTTGTAGGAAAAAGGCAGGATATAAATCAATCAATCAAGCTAGGATCCCGTTCTGTTCTGTGGACGAGAAGAACAGCCCTTCTGGATCATCAGGCCCCAGGTCCGTCCGTTTCAGGACTCTGGTTCCAGCCGTGTCTCGGGCTTAATGCTAGCCGCCTGCAATAAGACCCATTCTGGCTCAAACCACTGGTTCATTTTGCCCAGCATTCTGTTCACACAGTGGCCAGCCAGCTGCCCACGAGAAGGCCACAAAGAGAACACGTGTGCAGCGTCACCCTGTTGCTCATCTTCTTCGACTTCCTAGGCATACTGGTTTCACAATGGCCAACCAGATACCTCCAGGAAGGGTTATAGGCAATAGTTCTGGTGCTGTTCCCTAGCAGCTGCTATTCATTGATAAGGGATCTCTGATCCTGGAGGTTTCATATGGACATCATGATTAACAGCCATCAGTTGATTAATCCTTCATGAATATATTAATACTTGTTTAAATAGCCACTGCTGTATTATCGTGACAATGAATGCTGTGCATCACATGAAGAAAAGTAGGGTTTTTTTCTGAGTTGGTACTGAATTAGTTGCAACTCTTCTTGCTTCCTTAAACATTGAAGTGATTCTGAGGTCTCTTGACAGTATCTGGCCCCACAAGATTTTTTTGGGTTCCCAGATCTGTTCAGACACTCTGCTCTGATCTCCTGCCCCCTCCCAGTAAGCTAAGAAGGAACTGCACCATATGTAAAAGGTGGTATTTCTGTGGAATTGGAGAAAACTTGGGGAGGCTTGGAGATGAGATCCTGAAATTGCTCCACCCTCCTTCCCTTCCCTTCCCTTCCCTGTGGACAGGCATCTAAATGGGATGGTATATCTTAGTGTCCTGCAACAGCAGGAGGTTGGACCTGATAGCTTTCTGGCCTTTCCAACTCTGCTATTCTGTGAGACCCTCCCATAGAATAGAAAATCCTGGTAGAAAATCCCGTCTAGTGAAAATGCAGAGCAATGTGATAGAAGAGTTGAAGATTACTTCTGTTGTTTCTCTTCCTTTCTTTCATTGTGTGTAGCACTCTGTTCAGAGGCTTCTGTTCACAATACGATTGCACGCCAATGTATTACATTCAGAAAGAATATTTGTAGAAGTAGTAGTCATATACTATAAATATCTGTTGTTGCAGGTCAGAAAACTACTAAAAGCAGCTCTATTTGCACTCCCAAGTAGTGATGCTATATACCTCTTGCTCAAACTAGCCTCAGGCTTTCAATCCCAACTGAAACCTTGCTAATGTTTCATCTGTTTCTTTTGTAGGAGAGATTGAAAATGGAAACTTAATTTGCATACTTGGCACATTATACTTTAGTAGGATATAGTTAATGAGGAAACCACTTTATCCTTAGTCAGGCTGCTGGGCTATCTAACTCAGTACTGTCTATGCTGATTGGCAGCAACTCTACACAGCTTCAGCAGGAGCCTTTCCTGGCCCTATCTGGAGATGCTAGTGGTTGTAGAGCACCCATGTAGTTACTATTGAGCTTCAGTTCTTTTGAAGTTAGAGTTGAAAATATTGTAAGGAATATGTTTCCAGTAAATGCAAAATGGCCATAATTAAGGATTAATTCTTAATTTTTGAAAACCAAGCTGCTATGCTACTGTACTACACTTACACTTAACCACAGGTGCCTTTGTGGTATGGTATTCTGCTAATACCATAATCAGATTTCAAGAATAAATGTGGCTTATTAATATATGGAGGGCTGATCGCCATGGGTGACTGTGGGTGATCAGTGAATAGATGAATCTGCCTCTCCTCAGGCTGCCTGGTTTCTGTTCTAGTTGTAGAAGAAGAGCTCTTCTACTTTCATGGTCAGTGGTAGGGCAACATTGATCCATTGCTTCACCACCACTTCAATTATAGTTGACCTTTTCAAAAACTGGCTTGGCAAAACATTAGTTGCCTGCCTTTCCATGATAGATGCTAGGGAAGAAGTTCCCTTTCAGTGGTGACCAGTATTGGTACTAAGCTCCCAACAGGCCAGTAATTATTTTCTGCAGGCAAGTCACTTTTGTAGGCTTCTTCTCAAGAGTATAATTAAGACATCAAGGAGGAGGTTCCTACAGATCATTGTAATGACTCTCCCAATAAAGAATTTGACACAGTTGAAATCATTCAATTGTTTAGGCTATTGTATAGGATTCCTTTTAGGATAGGATGGAGGATGTCTGAGATGGTGCAGGTAGAGTTCTACTTGTTTCTACTTAGCATTGGTTAGGCCTCATCTGGTATACTGATTTTAGGGGCTGCAAGTTCCACTGGGCATGCATCAAGCCCTGAAATGTACCAAGTGCAGGAAACACATGAGTCTACTCAGATGTAAGTCCCATTGCTTCAGTAGGATTTGTCCCCAGGAAAGTTGGTTTGCAGGGGTCCCCGGTGTGGGCATCTCCAGAACACATGCTCAGTTCTCCCACTTGCTGTTGTCTTCAACAAACATCTTAATAAAACATTGAAAATGTTAGGGTGCCAGTTATTCCTTCCTGTTGCTGCACAGGAATTCGAAGGAATGGAAGGAATTTGCAAGGCAAAATTTGGTGGTGGAGGAGGAGCAAGACTGTTGGTTAGGAATAAGGAAAAACAGTGAAGTAAATAGGTGCTGGGGAAGAGAAATAGAAGCTGACTGTACAGAAACTTGATAAATGGGTAAGTGGTAGACAAACCAAGAAGGGGGTGAAGGACAGGAGAGGGAAAGAAGATGACTTGGGAAAGAGGCAGAAATAGTAAGAAAAGAGATTTTGAAGAGGGAGTGAGAGAGACACCGTGTGAGCAAAGGGGTAAGACTGATATAGATGAAAGATGATTAGGCAGTAGTTCTTCCTGTTCTCTCCACCCAACCCTCTCCCCTTGTCCCTCACTATTTCTCTTCCCCACAGCTTCATGACCAGCCAGGGTCCCATATTAGTCATTATGTGTTGAGTCATATTCTCCATGACAGCCATTTTGTGCTGGTGCTTGCTGCAGTTGCCCAGATTCCCAAATGGGTTTGAAAAGGCTTTGGGACCCTGGGGGTATAGGATTGCAACCTGAGCTTTACAGATTTCAACAGAATTCACCATGTGTTGAGGAACACTGTGATAATGTATTGTGATACATATACTAGCTTTACACGTTGTAAGTTGCTTTGAACAGCAGACAGACAGTTGAGGAATTATAGATAAGTAAGACAAACCATTGGATCCTAGTTTAGATAAAGCCACAGCTTGCCCTGGAAAAAGAAATAAAGAAACTGAGGCTGTTATACCATGGGCACATCATGAGAAGGCAAACTCACTGGAGCAGACGATAATGTTGGAGAAAGCAGAAAGCAGAAGGAAAAATAAGTTCATATATGAGATGGATCAAAGAAGCCATAGCCTTGGGTTTATAAGAGCAGGGCTGTTAAGGACAGGACATGTTGGAGGGCTTTCATTCATAGGGTTGCCATAGCAGATCTTGCCAAGAAATGTAATGTATAAGTAAGCTTCACAGGAGGGAAATAATCTTATAATTTACTCCCCCAAAAGAAATTGACAACATAATCCCTACATTCTCTCTCTGAGATCAAATGGCAAAGAAACAAATCTAAATAGCTTTAGATGTAACAGCGTTCAGTAAATGTATATTGGAAAACATAGTATTTTTAAGGAAAGTAATTGAGAAATCACTCATGTTGTGCTATACAGTGCTATTTCATGTATTTGTTTACTGCTTTTGTATACTGTTGACAGCTATCAAAGCTCTCAGAATGGTTTACAACAAAACACATAACAGTACAATTTAAAATACATACAGTTATGCAGCAAATAATCACAATCTATAACAATGAAATAGAATCCATAAAAATAAAATCCATCCACAGAGGCCCTTCCACCCTTGCCTACCCACATCTTACACTCACTTCTATCACCGTAGCACCCACAAGAAATATATTGGTGTTCTTACTATAATTAAATAAAATCAAACTAAACAGTTAAACTATTACTAAGTCTCTAAATTTTTATTGCTATATATCACAAAGCATAGTATCTCAAAGTTGATGCCATTGGTAAAAAAGCCAAATGTGTGGAAGATAAACATCTGGTACCATTTGGCATTATTAAGTGAGCATCCTACTGAAGAATAAGCATAGGCCTGTATGTCATACTTCAAGGCTCAGGGATAAAATTCTGCCTGGCAATAGCTTTTCCTGTTTGCACATGAAATTGGCAACTGTATTCTTGTCTTTGCTGCTGTGGTTTAACAGTTAGGCTTCTCATTATTTTTTTTCATCAAATGGGTCCCTTCTATTGCAATTATTTATGCATAGCTGAGAAGGCTGATGGATTTTGGTCTCTTGGTGCCAGTTTGTCGGCCACTACTTTAAAATATAATAGTGTGTGTTTCCACTTGCATTCACAAAACACTCTGGTGTTTGCTAGCAATTAATTCTCTTAAAGGGACTCTCCTTAGCAGCTAATCCTCTCATCCACACCAGCGCCACCACCAGATATGTTCTGCTTACTCTAGGTGGGAAAAGACATTGCTAAGCTTAAGCAACCATGTGCAATGCTTACTAGAAAGTGATACCAATTAAGGCTGAAACTGGGGACATGTTAACGTTTTTTTCATGCATGTGTTTGTTTAATGAAGACATAAATGTCAGTGCTGCAGAATGGCATGC